ACAAAAACCAATGCAATTTCTCCATAACATTTTGGAATATAGCTCGAAATAAGGTCTGTGGTTGACACACATTTAAGAGACGGATCAAGTTTTGTCCAGTCGGATAATCTCCACATGTCTACCCAGGGCCGTCCCCCCCTACAGGCCGATCATGCAGACTGCGTGGGGCCTCACCTTGCGGAGGGGGCCTCATCTTAAGGAGGGTGCCTCAACTGAGCCGAAAATGCGGCACACCTACTAGTGTGGCGCGGCACGGTTTCGCCGCTGCGAGGCTCCACTAGCACCACTCCCACCGTCGACGCTCGCGAAACAGAGGGCCTCGTTATATAACTTTGCGTGGGGCCTCATGTTGGCCAGCCCTAACCCCTAACCCCTAACCCTAACCGGCTCTGTGTCTACCCTACTTTTATAATTTTCTAATCGTAAATCTAATCGCCAGAAGCAAAATGCTAACGTTATGCTATAAACGAACTACAGCCGAGTACAGCAGCACGACTTCAACGTCACGCCAACTTAAGATCCATATTCAAACATACAGATTCTGAATGGTACAAGTTGAAGCGTTTGTTTTAACAGTTTGCAGGAGGCAGGTACTTGCTTTCAAGCTACGGCAAACTAACTTAGAGGGGTGTTTACGTGTTCGGTGTAATGACGTACAACGGCCTCCACAACTTCTGTAGTCCTTTTCAACCACTTGTTAACAACCATCGTTTTTCAGACAGGTCAACTCTTCAGAAATCACCCGTGGGGTCACTGCTGATGTTTTTAATGTCGTAGAACAAAACGTGATCCGTCTCTTAAATGTGTCTCAACCACAGACATTATTTCAAGCTATTTTTTAAAATCCTATGGAGAAATTGCTTTGCTTTTTGTCGATCGAACCGGAAGTGGTAAAAATGCTAACTCACTTCCGGGTTTTAGGACGCGTCACTCATCATTCAATACAATATAACAGCATTGATACATAAAGTGCAAGAGAGGAGATACCCCTGGATTAAAGTGCATTTAGCGGTGATTGCACGTCTGTTTGTTTCTCAACCATTCTTTGAGTTGACCTTTAAAACTATTGAGAGTGGGACAATCCCGTATCTCAGTTGGGAGGCTATTCCACAATGAGCTGCCTTTAATGGAGAGGACATTTTGTCCGAAAGTGGTCCGTCTGCGGTGGACTTCAGTCTTTTTAAAGGTGTTTCAATTGTAACCTTTAAGGAATACACTCCTGAATTCTTGATTAAATTATGTTTTGAGGTTTAGGATAAAGTGTTTTTTAATACTGATAGATAAGTAACTTGGGGTTATCAGGTCACCCTCTTCCTGAAACCCCCCTCACCGTATATGTCTTTGTGTTTTACAGCCTGGTCCAGAGGGGGTTTTATGACATGCATCTGGTTTATAGTCGCTCTCTTAAAACAACCACTCACTTATTATTAGAAGGAGCCGTGTTTACAAGCATTACAGATCTTTAAGAGCACTTTATTTTAAGGTACACATATTCACCATCAACTAGTTGTTCATTAACATGCATATTAGCAGTTTATTGGCTCTTTGTTAGTCATTATAAAACACGTATTAATGCCTTATTCTACATGACCATATTCTACAAGTACTAGGCCATTAGTTGAGTGTGTCCTCAATAACCCTCTGTTAAGTGCTTATTTATTGTAAGTAAGGACGTTGTTGTACATGACTTTGGGTCTTACTATGCTCAATATGGGCCTAATAGGGCACTCTCTCATAACACCTAACAAATATGGTCTGTTCTTATGTAACAAGACATGAAACTACGAGTGTTAATCGTGTCAAAATAACTCAAAATGTGGTATTTCTATCTCAGAATATGTTCCCTATTTTAAAGTGAAGTCTTGTTCAAAAACAATAAGCTAGTATTTTGACTATGTTAACTAGTTGATGGTGAATATATGTACCTTAATCTAAAGTGTTATACAAATATTGTGCATGTATTGCCTTACTCATCGCTCTCTAGACACAATAGCCGCGTTCACACCGGAGTACTTTTCCTACTTTAGTTCCGATATAGTTCCGAAATGTCGCGTTCACACCAAAAAGAGCCGGAACAAAAATTAGTTCATGAGAACCTTTTTACCCCCTGCTAGAGAGCAGGGACTCTCATGCGGCTCTCTTGTGAGAAAAGAGCTATATTTCTGATTTGCTGGGCGGATTGCAAACCACAACCCGTAAAACTCAAAAAAAGTGTTGTGAAGCCACCATTTTATTATATTAGCCCAGCGCAGAAACGCAGAGAGACTAACTTATGGCAACACAAAATAAAACATGGGAGCGGTGGAGATGAGGAGGTGTCGGCGTTCTGG